AAAAAGAAAGACAAAGCACATGAAAAACATTTCCCGAGTCTACTGACGCTCATGGAGATTGAGAGATCCTGAACGTTGCACACACATCCTAACATTTGAGCTTCTCATTTACTTGATGTTAGTTAATTTGCGCAAATAGAAGCACCGCCAAACAAATCTTTTAAGTGCTGAAAAAGCAATCGATATGTACATGATAAAGCGACGCTCTTTGCAAATGAAACTAAAGACTAAAAGCTTCATAATGATGATGAAGTAAAATGAAGCCTGCTGAACGCATACCAATTCAAATGAATGTGTAGTTACTAGCATTTATTAAAACCAATGGTAATTACTATAATGGTGGCACAAATGAATGGAATTCCTATTAAATCTGATAGATTGACAAATCTAGGAGAAATGTGCCAAAGCATTACTTTTGTAAAAAGTCACTTTTTTATAAAACAATTTGACTTGATTCACATTGCTATTTTGAAAACTTCAACTGTTGTTGCGTAACTCGGTTCAAGTGAGATCTTTTGTATTGCCTGTTCTATGTGTAACCAAATAACTGAAAACTATTTTTACTCTATCCAACACAAGAGACGCACCAGAAACTTCATGATATCTCCCCCAGTACACCCCCCTAGCAACCAAAATAATTTATGCCAAAATCCGTTGAAATATATATACCATAAGTGACAGCAGACTGAGCTTACATATAACTACGAAAAATATGCACATGAAACTTTTCATATACGATTTACCAGCAGACAAAAACACACACAATGATACGCACACAAAATAAATGGCAAAAAGATGGCAGCAAATGCGGAACAAAAATTCTTCGAAACATCTTTTCGTATATAGAATTTTTGTTGTTGTTCTTCTTCGATATATAATTTTTCTTTTGCAGTCGTCTTATGTATTTTTGCTGGATGCATATTTTTGTGTATAATTTTACAACGTCATTCAAATTCAAACAACATCAATAAAAACTTCAAAGTCCTTGCGTTGGGTCCACATACCGTTTGGCCTGACGCTACCATATGGTAGCTACTTTTTTCAATATTTCTTTATTCTTTTCGTGCTAACGAAAGGAACCAACAGTAGCTCATATCGAAGTCATGTTAGCTACATGACCAACAACAAGAGCAACAATACCATAGGCGATGGAAAATTGCATGCAAAATGAATAACAAACAGTGTCATATAGCCGCCAGCACAAGACACTTGTATGTACATAAGTATAAGTGTATGGAAAATGGTAAAAAAAAAAAATATTAGATGCCTCAAAAAACGACGACGGAGGCCTCGAAAGTGGTTTTTGATATGGCACGAAGCGGTCATACAGAGAGTACACAGCGAGTTTTTAGATTAACTGTCATGCCAAAAAAAGAATGAAAGAAATCGACAAAATGGCGTAAAGGACATGAACGGAAGTGGAACCCTGTCGTCGACATCGATGTCGTCATGAAAAAATTTCGGCAAAATGCGCAAAACAAGTAAGCGGAATTTGACAAACAATTTCAATAAATTTCTGCAAATAAGTGAGGGAGAGAGCATGAGGCCATGCATGAAGCACGTATGAGAGCGAGAGAGCAACGCCAACAGCGAACGACAAAATGGCGGCCATCTTGGAGTTCAAATCGAAATTAAGCAGAGACGCTGGCAAAGACATCGACGGAAGCTAAGCAAGCAAGCGGAAGGGATAACAAGTCGAATGTTGCGTTGACAATATTTGTTGATGTTACGCTGTGTATTAGCACGCACGCACACACAGACAGACAGACAGACACACATACATACATACACACATATAGATAGTCCAAAGAGCAAATGTTATTTCATGTATGAGCGAGAAGGAAAGCAGATAGTCTGAGCTGGGCCAAGAGGCTGGGTGGGCCATCATAATGTAGTTCATTGATTCGCTTGTCAGCTGTCAGGACGTAAGCCGCTTCCTGGAACGCTTTGAGCCATACTCCTTCTTACTCCTTGTTGACCAATATTCTTCAGCCTCGCTCTGGCACAGCTGCTTGGCCCGCTGCTCTGTGCAATGTCATGACATGTCAACATTTAACACTTGCTCTTTTCGCCTGACAAAACCCCTTTCCATCTTTTCGAAACTTTTCCTGTTTATCCACATTTTTTTCTCTCGTTTTTTGTGCGTTGGCGACAAAAATTTGTCACTTGAATGTTATCGAAAGCGTATTACATTTTCCCCAGCTATATGTGATGGAAATTCAGCAGCTAAATTGGACTTGAACGCTTCATTGGCTTAAGAATTATTTGCCGATGGGACGATGGCAAGCAAAATGTGGGAGATAAGTATAAAAGAGACCGCAACGTCGTAGGTATTAATATTTGACAGAAGAATATATTTATATATTTGCGGTAATATGTAACAGAGATAGAGAGAGAGAGAGAGAGAGAAAGAGAGAGAGAGAGGGAGGGCAAGAGAGATAAAGAAAGAGAGCGAGAGATGGAAAAGTATGTATTTTACATTATATAGATTATTGTTAAATCCATAGAGTAAGATAAAGTAAAATAAATGTTGAAAAAAACTTAAAACATTGGAAATAACTCGGAAACCGGCTATTTTTTGCGAAGATATTGCTGTTAAAAAGTGCATTTTTACAGAAAAATGTACTAAAAACTTAACTTACTACCAAATTGTAAGATTTTATTATTGTCAACGGTTTTTAATACTCAATTTTTAAGTCAGTAAATAACCAATTATCAGACGGTATATTTGAAAAATATATATTAATTGAGTACAAGTGCATGAATAGAGATAGCGTAGACAAAAGGAAGGCTAAAAATAAAGCGTTTCCATACATGTATTTATATTTATGTGTATATATGAAAGCAAAAAGAAAAACAGCAAGAGGTTAAGTATAATCAACTCTATTACATTCTTATATTATTGTGCTTCCATCTGTCTATCTTTGATTGCCTATTAACACAGGCCAACTATTGATGTGTGACAGATATATCCTTTTCTTTTTTTCCACTTCATTATATTTTATTTCTTGTCACGCATGCACTGAACTTAGTCTGCCTGGGGTGCTCTACAGTTTTTTGATTTATTCTGATGATAAGTTTCCTGCAATCAGTAGGAAACTGAAAGTAGCTCGCGGCTTTATGGCACTACATTTGATTGCCAATAATAATCGCTCAGTTGAGTCATCCCCTGCAATAGAAGTGCCTTAAGAAATTGTAAACGAGCATAGAACATGCAGGAATGAGTTGCAGGCAAGGTGGTAATATACGGAAGGTATATATGAGTGAAATGTGGTTTTATATGAAGGAAGTCAAATAGCATGTGAAGCCATCATAAAAACTTGAGCATTTTACTATGCTCCAGATAATTATGGGTCTGAAGAACTTAAATCATATAAAACTTTATAACTCAAATGTTGTTGATGATTATGATGTTGTGGCGGTAGAATATGAGCGGTTTACATTTTTTTTCACTTATAACCACAAGCACAGCAACAACAAGAAAAGCAACCACAAACAGCAAACAACCGAGCATCTATTTTTATGTGGCAACGTAACATTTTTTTTATGAGCGCCTAACAGTATGCAATATGTATTATGTACACACAGGCACACACACTCACACACACTCACACACACACACACACACACACAGCCACACTCGCACACATTGTGGCTGTTAGTAGTGTCAAGGCGTAGTACGAGTAGGCCTGGGTTTCGGGCGCATCCCCAGTGCTAAAATTAAACCAGACGAGGCTTTCGTCTAAGCAGCAAGCACCGCAGCAACACGTGTATTTGTTGTTGTTGTTTGTGCTGCTATTGTTGTTGGTGCTGTTGTTGCTGCTGCTGTTGATGAGCGCGAAAATCACAATTTTCCCTGCAGTACAATTTGCCAGGGCTCTGCTCAACTTATATTGCTGTTGCTGTTGCTGTTGCAGTTTCACGAAATTTGCCCACAATGACATTGTTGCTGAAAGGCATAGGTGATGGCGGGGGCATGGCGTGACGTGCGGCAACATGGCGGTTTGTTAGCAACAACAGCAACGTCGCTGTTATCCTTTTATGCATTTTAATTTGCACACACTCACAGATATATAGCAAGAAACACACTAACGTACACCCACACACCCATACAGACACACAATCATATACACACTGAGGCAGGCACGTGCTCTGAGCCTGTGCCTGCACCCATGGGTGTATTTCGCGACAGCATCGTGTGTGTGATTGTATGAGTGTCTCTTGTATATGATGATCATAAAAGCAGCACGTTAGAAATTATATGACTGTCAGTGGCACACACACCAAACACACACACACATACACACACTGTGCATGTGTTTATGTGTATATGCTGGGGAATTCATTAGCACAGCTCAAAATGCGCTCCTGCTGAAAGTTTGTCCCATGCCACGGCAACAGTCGCATTCGCATCCCATTCAAAATCGCAGTCAGAGGCGCAACTTTAAAGTGCCTGCCAGACCCGCATTGAAGGTGGTCTATTTGACAGTCGACTAGAACACCAATTGCCAGTCCATGCCTCATGCCCCATGAGCCGCATGCTTATCACATATTCAGATGCGACGTGTATTTGATTTATTAGCATGTGGAGTACGTTAACCTAAGCATTTGATATACAGATTTTCGTTGGTCTAGTTGGAGGCGAGAATATGAGTGGCATGGCAAATAAGTCCAATTAAGCTTATGAAGTTTAAAGCATTTTATTTCAAATTGTTTTCAACATTAAATAGCCATATTTTTTAATTAGAAAAATATGGTCTATCAAATATAGGAATATACAACTGTAGGAAGTAATAACAAATTTAGACTGACATTTGATTTATATTAGTTTCAATAATATCGATTTTGAAATTTGTGATTCAAATAATTTGATGTGGGACATTGAGATATTATGCTGCTTAAATATATTTGTAGTTCATGTGTTGAATTTCCAAATTTATGAACATTCCGTTAGTATTACTTATGCCCCTTGGCATTACAGAATTTGTTTGTAAACTTACCGTTGCTGCACAAAGCGTTGCATTGCCTACAAGTGACAGGCCGTCGTAATGCCGCCGTCGTCGTTGTTGTTGCTCGAAAGGATGCTGCTGCTGCGTGGTTGCAGCTGCCCCTGTGGATGTTGGTGTTGATTTTGATATCGCTATGCCGTCGTCTTCGTTGCTGTCGTCTATAGGTTGAGTGGCCAGCAACGGGCAGCATCTACGCCCAACGTTTAAGTCCACGTCCACGCCCAATACGCCGTATCCGGATGCAAGGACGCGCCGTCGTCGTCTGCGATGGCGATGATGTGGATGATGTTGGCGCTGGCGTTGATTGTGACGACGGCAGCGTTGCTGTTGCGCTGCGGCGTCTATTTTAATGGCAGCAATGGTGCCGCTTTACAGCAGCACGCAACCTTCTTATGGAGGTACAAGTGCTGTTAACTAGTTGCTGCAGTTGTTGCTTTGACTCCGACCCCCGAGTGTTGCTGCTTCTTCGTTTGCTGTTGCTCCTCGCACTTCAATTACTGCCACATGCCTTTATTGTTGTTGTTGTTTATTTTTATCGTTGCTTGCTGCTAATCTAGTGCCTGATTAATGACAATTCCATGATCATGTTTTTTTTTTGTAAATTCCTGACGCTTGGGGCTAAGTTCTACTCGTGTAGTTTTATTCTGTTTGTTCTTGTTATTGGCAGCACTTTGTTGTCGTAGGTTTCAACAATTCCTGTTTGCAGTCTTGAGCTTTGGCATGGCTGCAAAAACACATTGAAAATAATGATATGAATTAATAATCAACTAAAATACATACAAACGATTTGCAAACTGAAAGCTGCCAAAAAATGGGTTTTGTACATTTTGTGTATAGTGCCACAAGCGAAATGAAATTAACAGAAAATTTTGCTCATCTACCACTATTTTTTCCTATACTCTTTACACATTTTTTGGCAGCCATCCTATCTGGCCATTTTGTCTGACAGGGCCAGGCTAAGGTTGCGCTGTCTGCCTGCCTGGCTGCCTCGATTATAGCCATATCTGGCAGCATCAATATGAATTGCATATGTACTCATATATATATATATATATATATAAGTATATGTATTTATGCATATTATATACATGTATATACATAAATGTACATATTTGAAATTGTGTAGCTCCCATTTGAGCTCATTGGCATTGGTGTTTCTGTAAATTATAGATTTTTTTTCCGCCGCATCTGCTTCTGGCAATTTATCGCATTTAAGTTTTGGCTGACAATGTTAATTCGTGTGTATGTGTGAGCCAGTATTGACTTGGCCCGGTTTGGCTAACGCCCATTTGACAAATGGCCAAAAATAAAAAAATTTTGCATTTGCGCATTTTGAAAATCTGCTAAAGTCAGGCAATGGTATGTAAAAATAACGCAGAAGTCACAAAGAAAGCTGTTAAATGTACCAACAGATTACATAAACAAAGAATATATATATTCATTTGGCAAATACAAATGATGATATTATATGTGTGTGTGTAAATTTTAAGTTATAAATTAAAATCTTACGTTTCTAAATATATAAATAAGATACTGTTCTTCACAGGAAGAAATAAAAAACCAAATTTGCATCGATATGAGAAGCTTTGAATCCATTGATAAACTTTACTTTATAATGTTCACACTGAAACTTTACTTTATAATGTTCACCACATTCCAAAAAGGGATTTATTGCTTATATTTTGTAAAAGGATTCTCACACAATTCTCAGTAAATTATTTTAAATTATTCATACTAATAAAATGATAATCATTCAAAATTTTCATTCAGTCATTCAAAAAATAAGTTAATAAACAATATTATTAGAATAAATCGTCAATGGCGCTTTTCTTTCGATGCTTTTTATAGGAGCCACAAAGAACCTATTCGAAATAATGGTGCAATAATAGCTCTAATTGCAAAAAAAGGGTAGCTAAAAAAACTGGGTTCATATTTAGTTGCTTGCACAGAGCATAATGGGCGGCTTTGGACAGAGGACTAAGGACTGCAATTATAAAGCTGCAAAAAGCACAGCGAAGCAGAAAATATGAGAGCCAGTTAAATCTGAAACACAGAAATGTGGAGCTGTAAATTTAAAATGGAACCAAAACACACAAAAAAAAGAAACTAAATGTGGAATGCAAATGACAAAGGCAAAATATAGAAATGAAAATGCGAATGGGAATAAAAATGGGAGTCGCATGCAAATGTTTTTAAATGCATATAAACAACAGCAAGAACAACAACAGCGATTCTAATGAATGCGCTGACATAAAAATAATTATGAATTAAAGCCCAAGTTGTTCAGTTATTTTGTTCCGTTTCTACTACTATTATTATTATTATTATTATTATTATTAACATTATTATTATTTTTCTTGTTGTTGTATGCCCAGCCAGAACTCATAATTCAGATGCATGTCGGAAGTAAACACTGCAGAGCAGTTGCCAACGAACCCAGCGAGATCTGTGTCGGCTTTAGTTTAGTTGGTTCCATTGTCTTCAGTAATGCGACGTCATCGTCAGACGTCGTTGTCCTGGTCGACGTCCTCATGCTCATACTCATCGCCATCGTCGTCGCAGTCGCCGTTTTTGTCAGCTGGCGCCCGTTGTCTGTCTGCATTTTCATTTGTGGCGCATAAAAAGGCAGCAGCACGACTAAAGGCAAAAGAACTGCCAGCAAATGTCCATCAACAACTACAGCAAATGCCATTTATATATGTATGAGCATAAAAGAATAGCAACAAACAGATATACAGACAAACAGAGAGACAACCAGACGAGTGAAGAGAGAAGAGCTGGAAATGGTCTGTCTTCCTTTGTGTCTTTCAATTGTTGGACAGTTTGGACCTGGTGAGCTGAAGCTGTGCAAATTCTGAGACTGACTGCTTTTTGGGCAACATAGTCTCGACTGCGGGTCAGCTAAGTGTTACGCCAGCCACAAGGCAACAGCCCAAGCTTTTGGAGTCCCAAACAAATGTCGCATAATGCAGCAGTAAAGTGCATCGAGCTTATTCTTAAAATGAAAAATTTAAGGCCACAATGCGTGGCCTTCGGCAAGCCGAAAACTGCAGTTGTCTGCTGATCCTTCTTGAGTACATTCAACTAATGAGTTGGCTTAAATATTTAGGAGGATTGAGTCGAAAATAAACAAAAGTCAAACACCAACTCACCCTCTTTCCCCTCCTCTCTCTCACTCTCTCTCTCTCTCTCCTCACTATGTCTCCCTCTTTTATTCGCTGATGCTGCTGCGGAAACTGCAAATTGAATAGCTCTCCTTTTGCTTAAGGAGCTTTCACACAGTGCGCGCAAAAGTATGCTATATATTTTTATGACCGGTGGACAGAACTTATCTCATGGCACCAGCAACTGTGACAACGACAAAGACAGTCTCAGAGACAGTAATCGAAGCGCAATGTCCGATAGATTTTTCAGTTATAAATAACGGCTTGCGGACAATTGACCGTGCAATATATACTCATATATGTGAGTACTGATTTCACTTTGTTACAAAAGCTGCTGCTCAAATCAGTTAACATTTTAAGTGTATATTTCAGCACTTCGTTGGCCAAATTGGTCAAAACTATTCTTATTATTTATTATTTTCAATAAATTTTAACTTTTGAAGTCATCTGACGATGACAGATATATTGGCTGTTTTAACATGTCACAATGTATGAATCGGACTATAGTCCTGGGATAATTAGTAACGGGAGGAGCTGTATGAGAGATATCCCAGCTTCGTGCAGGCCAAGACATTTCCTTAATTTTACATTACTCATTAACCATTATATTTAATATTTATTTTGGTACATACATTTTTTCAAATGATTTCTAATCTAGTCGGATGAAGAATAACTAAGTATCATACTACGGACTATCTTCAATTTTCCAAATCGCTTTCTAAATGCTCCATTGCAACCAAAAAGGAAACTAATTACCCACATAGGAAACTAAATATAAAAATATAAAACCATAACAATATTATTAAAATAGAAAGCAAATGATTATTCGAGGTTTTACTAATAAAATGTCTAGGCAGATTGCAGAAAAATGTATTTCTATATTAACCAATCCTTTATGTTTAAAAGCTCATATTTAGCTTTTTTCTTGGATATGCCCGTGATTTTAGTTTGTTTAAGTAGTGTAAGAATTTATTTACTTTAATATTAATTGATGGTCATAACCTATGATTCAGGACTATATCAAAAATATTTTTGTAGGCAATAATTGTTTACATAACACACATAATCCGATTATGTTTTATGGCTTTTAAAATGTTGCAAAATTGAAATTCATATAATTCTTAACTACCACATTATGTAGATAATATATAATAGGCAAATTTTAGCAGTATCGAAGCACTTAACTCATAATCAACCGAATTAAATTATAATGATTAGTGTTTTGCTACCAGTTGTTTATTCCGCTCCCGAAAAGCTGATCAAAATAGAACCAACAACAACATTTCCAATGAGTGCAACTTTAGTGGACACAAAGTTTGCAAATTGGTAAATTTTGTTTGCACTGCACAAAGAGCTCACTTAAGCGCCGTAGCGCTTTACGATGGATAATTCATCAGTATCAAATTATTCACTGGACTTCGTAGTTGCGTAACAGGAAGCAATGGGCACTAGCTGCCCAATGCAAATAAACACTTGATATTCAATTTGGCAACGATTTATCAGCATATTGGGGAAATTGTGGGCTGTTGGAGGGCAGCGAGGTGTTGTGAAGTTGAACTAATAACAAAAGGCGCTCAGACGGGAGACTAAAAATCAACTTCAAAAAAGGCAAATATTTGTACATCAACAAAAAACGACGACATCGTTCAAGTTGGCGTCACCAAAAGTGCACACAAACATACAACTACACTTGTGGGTGTGGATGTGGGTGCCAGAGTGGGAGAGTGCGTGTTTATGTGTGTGCTTGTGCCAGGACAAAGGCAAAAACAAAAGAAGCCAGCACACAAAAGGAAGACAGACTGGCAACTAAACAAGTGGGAATTTGCGTTTAAAACAATAATAACAAGAACAACAAACGAAACGTACACAAAAAGCAAAGCTTGGAATAGGAAAAACTGACTGAGTAAATGATTGACTGACTGACTGACTGCGCGACAGATTGACAGACAGGGTAGGCATGGCGTATGAGTAATGCGTGAAGCCTGCCATGAGAAATGGGAACTCTGAACTGAGAGCTGCGACCTGCGTACCGGAAACGGCGAGTGTACGCATTTGATAGCAAGAAAAACATGTTAATTAGACAAAAGGAGAACAATGCTTGACGTAAAAATGAAATGAGAAAATAAGCTCAGAAAGCTAAATCATATATTTAAGAGAATAGTCAAACGGGTAATATTCTTGCAAATTAATTTAATTATTTTA